CTTCAGAAATAACTAAAGTTCTCTTGAATGATCTGATCACAAATTACAGACTCCCCTCCTCAATGCAAAGTCTCTTTCTGCATAGGTGGCCCAGCATTTGAGCAAAGCATTCGCTCTCCAACAGAAGCTACCCACATTCTGTAGACCCCAATCTACAAGGAAAACAGAAAAGATAAACCACACCTAACAGAAAGCTGTGGCTAAATTACGGTAACAAGCCCACCACAGTGGGCTAAACTGCTGCCAATTGCTCYCGTTTAGATAAAGTGACCCCAGAAGCAGGCTTAAATTGAGCCCTAGGGAAAAAAAAAAAAACAGTGTATGGGAGAAACTTCTGGTACCTTGGGGCAAGGGAGTAGAAAATGGGAAAATGTAGATATGTAGATATAGCGAAAAAACTAGATTAAAACAGTATGAACTACAAATCAGTCAAATATTCGCTGCTATATGAAGGGATCCTTTCAGGTCCCAATCAAGTTTGAAATCACCTCTCCCTCACTTCAGGTAAACGTCCAAAAGAAAAACGACATCAGGTTTTAAAAACCTTCTATTCATAAGACCCCTCCCTTGGTTGCCCATTTTTAGCAGGAAGTAGCTTGGAGATGTTGTTGCCCATTTTTCCATAGAAATGGAAGATAGAAATTGACAGTGGGGAAATCTAAAAGGGTTCCACTGTGTGCTTTGAATCTAGCCTTTCCTCTCGGCCACTGCTGCTTATTTTTAAACTTATATTTTATTTTTCCTTCCTTTTTCCCTCTCCCCATTTCTAACCATAGAGTAGCAAGGTTGACATTTTTCCCATCTTAGGCCAAATTATCTATCCTTCATGGACCACAGGAATGAAGGAATCCAGACTTCAGGGCTGGTACCAGTGGGGCCTAGAAATGGCTGTTTCTCAAGGCTGCAAATGAATTTTGAGTCCTAACAGGGCATAGCCAGAGCACAGCCTTTGTATCTCCTCTTAAAAAACCCTCTGTTCCCCCTGACAGAATGATAGCCTCTGAGGCAGGAGTTCCCTGTGTTTCTCCTTTGCGAACAAAGCAATCAAATTAATTTCTCCTTTTTCTCAAAACCTTGTTCTCACTGAGCACAGCGATGCACACCTATAATCCCAGTGGCTCAGGAAGATAAGGCAGGAAGATTGCAATTTCAAAGCCAGCTTCAGCAACTTAGCAAGACCCTAAAACCTAGTGAGACCCTGTCTCAAAATACAAAATAAAAATGTCTGGGATGTGGCTCAGTGGTTAAGTGTCCTGAGTTAAAACCCTGGTACCAAAAGAAACCAACAAACAACGATAAAAAACAAACAGACAAACAAAACAACAACAACAAAAAAAAAAAAATCCACCTTTTTCTCACTATTGGATCAGCAATGGGGACAAGGACTGAGTGTTGGTATCAATCTTTCAGTCCTGGTCTGACCCATACAGGTGACAAAAGGACTTCTTGATTCCAAAGACTATTTTCTTTCTTTATAAAGCCAGTTTGTTTGGTTTGTCTACCAAAAGCACTACAGCTGGTAGAATAAGGATCTCCAAAAATCATCTCCTTCACAAAAGTGGGGATGATATTGGCAAAAATCATTAGAACCAATATTTTTCAGAGCTCTGGAAATTAACCAAAGGCAAACAATGATCCAGGGACCAATAACTTAAAAAAAAAAAAAAAAAAAAAAAAGCACCACTCATTCCCTATTCCAAGATGGCTGCCATTATTTGATGTGTCAGGAAGTTCCCTAGAGAATCCCACTCACAAGACTTGAATTTATTTGACTGAACCTTGAGATTACTCATTGTTTCCAGCCTTTTCTTTGGGAGCATTTKCTGGGGGGGTGGGGGRAAGAGGGAAGAAGAAGAAAAGGAAAAACAAAATCACAGTGATTATATAATGTTGTAGCTGCCTAAGGCATCAGTAACAGCTGGAGCAAATACCAAACCAGTAAGATGGTGAACAGTTTTCCTGCTCAGATTGCGAGTAGTTCTGTCTCATAGATGAAGAGAAATGTGAGTATCCTAAAACCTTCTTTTGAAATCCATGCAGGAAGAAGGTCAAGAAGAGAAGGAAGTCTTTAAACATACTCACAGTTGGGTTGAGAGGTAGGAAATTTTGCATTAAAAGAGGAGGTGGGGGGAAGTAAAATGTGTGCAGGTTCAACATTTATCTGTGTGACCTTGAGCAGATCATTTCACCTTTAGGAGCTTTAATTCCTTGTCTGTGAAATTGAGAAAATCCTTGGTGAAACTAAAGAGAGGGGACAAAGATGTGGTAATGACTACAAATCACCCTGAACTTATGAATGTGTCTGAACCATTAGGCCTTAGATAGAGTCTTGTCTTCTAGGTTTAGTTGGCATCTGAGGACTATGGAAGAATGGACTCAGGGAGAAGCCATGSTTTTAAGAGCTTACTCCCCTTCCTTAAATATCCAGGAGTTTTATCACTTTGTAGAAGTGATAGATTTATTAGATTGAAGTAATATGTGAACTCACTGTAACTTAACAAGAAAGCAAGCACAGAACAGGTAGAGATTAGATACATGAGGTGCTCTTTCAGGCTGTGGGCAGCAGCTGGGAAGGGCCTGAGGTCTCCACACATGCCTGCTTGCCTTTCCAGTTTGTTCCACCATGTTATGACACAGCAAGATGCATTTGCTAGGTGCAGCCACCCAATTTTGGAATTCCCAGCCTCCATAACCCTAAGCTAAATAAACCTCTTTTCAAAAATATAAATTACTCAATCTCAGGCACTCTGTTATAGTAACAGAAAACATACTGAGACAAGTGCTATGTACAGAAGGCAATGCTTCTGAATAAAGAGTCCTACCTCCTGTAGTCCATACCTCCAAAAATTCTCCCAGAAAAAAATGTGAATATTAAAATTAATAATCAATAAATTTGAATCAACAAACTGGCACACAACTGACTTCCCAATCTTCCACAGAGAGGTCTTTGCCCAGCATCCAAGATAGACCTTGGCACAGAGCTATGCGGGAGACAGATTTGGTTTCCATAATACCTCATTATTATTAATAATATTGTGCTAAATAAGATGAAGTTTCATGGCAATTGTTTGGATAATTCAACTGAAATCACCTAAATATCTGGAACACTAGGGTTTTATTGATTCATTATGGTAGAACCATTTCACTAGATTCGAACATCCTCAAGAATTGATCCTATAGTTTTCTCTGCACTATCACTGTATTATTTCCTATTACTGCTCTTGCAGGAGTGTTATCACCAACTTAAAGACTTAAAACAAGACAATTTGATATTCTATCGTTCTAGAAATCAAAAGCCTGAAATGGGTCTTTCTGGACTGAAATCAAGATGTTGGCAGGGTTTTGTTCCCTTGGGATGCTCTATAGGAAAATCTATTTCCTCATCCTTTTCTAAAAACCACTTGCCTTCCTTTTGTACCTTTAAAGCCAGCAGGGTAACATCTCCCTGACTCTGACCCTTCTGCATCCCAAGTTCTCTTACAATGATACAGATGTCTACATCCAGACAAATACAGATAATCCAGAATAATCTCACCATTTTAAAGTCCTTAACTTGGTCACATCTACAAAGATTCTTTTGCTGAGTTAAGGCAACATATTCATGAGTTCCAGTGACTCATTCTGGGCACACAGCGAAACAGTGGTCCTCTACTTAGGAAACAGTGATCCTCTACTTAGGAAACAGTGGTCTTCTACTTACCAATTTCTGAAAGTGCACAGGGCTTCAGTGAGAATCCAGATACCAAACCCTTCACTACCGTGATTCTGGTAGGTGCTCCATTTATACTGCGCTTTAATAGGCACATGTTCCTGAATGTAAAGAAAAGAGGTGATTCTGCATCTTGCACTTGAAGGTGTATGAAGCTGTCCAGGTAGTATTTGGCACTGAAACSATCCGTGTTCAGTAGAAAATAAACAAAGGCAATCAGAAGCCAGAACAATAACCTTTATAGTGAGTGGGTTAGGGGTTTGCATTACTGATAAAAGGGACACCCTTTCCCTCTGCAAAAGGAAGTTTATCCTGATTAAGGGGATGGAAGACCCTAAATTTTTATTCTACAAATACAGCTTATCTGAGGACCAATTGGAGCTTGTTCTCTTTAGAGAAAATGACAGGCAAATAAGGAAGGTAGTTAGGACAAAATACCCAGTTGGTTTTTAGTTGGGGAAAAAAAAAAACAAGCTATGAAGAATACAAATAATCCAAAATGCACCATCATAAAAGACACACTCTATGAATTTGACTTACCGAAACCCAGGAAGATAAAAATTTGGGGTGGCATACGAGAAAAATTGGCAGCGAATATCATCAGTGCACAATTTTTGGCATTCTTTAACACTTTGAACCTTAGTCATATAAAAATTGGCTCCTCTCATATCAATTCCCTCATAAGTGTCTCGGTGGCAAGCTGTACAAATGAAACATGTAAAGTCAGTCAAGCTCCTGCTAGAGGGAGCCCATTCCCCATCATTTGGGCACGGTAATTTTAAAGGTAATATCCCCATTTTATCTAGGGGATTTAAATTTTCTATTATATTTCTACATTGTCAAACTCTGCCTGAAATAAATATAACCCCAAATGATTTTCCCTTAGAATACCATCATTAAAAAAAGGGGGTTATTTTGCTTCCTAAACTGCAAGATATACACAACAATACAGGTAACAATACATTGAAATTATCAATGGGCACTGGAAAGTAAATTAGGCAATGATAACAAGGATCCTGATTCTGTGTGCCAAGGATCTGTGTTATTAAACAGACTAATGTGCCTTTGACCTTCTGCACTTAGTGAAGGAGATTCTTTATCTCTGCTGTATTTCTCTACTTTTGACTACTCAAGTCTGATTATGAGTTRTTATCTGTAAGCCCTGACATTGACCTCTCTGTGTCAAATCTTTATAAAATGTGGAGAGTTCTTGTACATGCATGTTAAAACAGCTTCCACTTTTGTTCTAAAAGTTTGTTCAATTCTATTTAAGTACCCTTTTAATTGAAATTTATCTTATCTGAGAAAAATGTACATAATTAACGGTGAACCAAATTAGTCTTTTTAAAAAATCAATTTGTTAGACCCTTGGTTAAAGAACTAGTATAACTAGCAGTGTAAACCCAAATCTATTATATATATATATATATATATATAACATATACATATATATTTTATATATATATATAAATTATATATATATATAATTTTCCGCTCTTAAAATGTGTGAATCCATAAAACTAATTTTAAGCCTGGGAAGGTCAGAAAACGTACACAGTTGCAGGAAAACATTATATTGAGGTGGGCAGGGGAGTGGATGACCTTYAGGGGTTCCTGAAGATAGGACTCTGTAGGTTATAGAAAAAAAAGTCTCTTTTAAGTTTACTACTGATGAGAAAAACAGGCGAAGAGTTGGGGTGGGATAATTGCAATTGAAAACTCTTCATTATGATTATACAAAACCTTTAAATCTACCTCTAAATGTTTTTTTTGTTGTTGTTGTTGTTGTTTTTTTACTAGAATTGATCCTGAGTTTGGAGACTTTGTGTACTTGCTGGGAGTTTTTTGTTTGTTTGTTTGTTTTCACTTATTTAAGATGTTTGGAGAGAATGAAAAAGGAATTTTAAAATCAAGCTAGTGAGTTGACTGATTTGGGGCATAAATTAACAATAATTAAATAGTATTGAAAAATAGCACAATATTTGTTATTCTTTAAATATTGCTGTAAGATACAATAATTGGAAATAATACCAAATTATACTAGTATATAAACCTGATCTTATACAAAGGAAACGTACTTTGCCTCAGGGTAACTACATCTATTACACTGGCTTAGTCAGGTCTTCAAATTTATAATGAAGGCCCTGCCACCCCTGGTTAACTGGTTAAAATTCTAATTGAAGGCTCAAAATGTGGCTTATTCAAAGAGTGGTGTTAGTGGGGGAGGAAAAGGTGACTTCTGAAATTTGAACCCATAAAATTAACGGTATACAGTAAAGATACAATAGTAATGATAGGTAGTCCCAGCATAGAGATTATTATATATATAATAATCTCCCCTACTTAACACTACCAAAAGCATCTCTAGGTATTGCCAAACGTTCCCGAGGTGGAAGGGAGGGTATAAAATCACTGCTGATTGAGAACTACTAATAAGAACTGCAGATTACCTTCAAGTGAACTGGGAGGGAGATGGTTTTCTTTTATTGTCTTATCTGAACTCAATAACAGACTATCCTTTGGCTATGTTTTCACTTCCTGCAAATATTAAACTATACTACTAAACTCATAAAAAAATAGAGGCTCCTTAAGCATGTGTGTACTGACTGATATGTTGACTGATAAAGACAAGAGAAYTGTCAAGATAAACATGCTTCCCTCTTTACATCCATTATACTACCTCATCTTTGTTATTTTTTTTAGTGCTCCCTTCCAAAAGTGCACAGCAGTACAGACTTTGAGCAAAAGCTATTTTAAAGGAGATCAGTTATTAACTCAAATTTAGTTAAATAATAAAATGCACATCTTACCACTTATTAGGTGGCCACACTGCTTTAAGGAATGCCCAGAGATTGCATTTTTCCTATGCACCCTTGGTAATGTTCCGGTAACACTGTCTTTCAAGAAGCAGCCAAACCTGTTTTTAAAAGTAGCTTCACTCAGGAAGTAGAATCAATAAACATACACTAAAGAAATGTCTAGCATTTTCTACACATTACTAAATGAAACCAGGAATAAGAAAATTAATGTTGTTTCCCGACATTTGCTGGAAAAACACTCAGAAGTGATTGTGTAATATCTGGTGGTCTCTGTAATACCTCACATAAGCATTGTTTTTCCTTCATGCTCACAGAAAGTCAATCATATTAGAGTTGATTGTTCCTATCTTTCTAAACTTCCAGGGTGATTCCCAACTGGTGATTTTGTTTTGTTTTGTTTTGTTTTTTTTGGTAACAAGGATTGAACCTAGGGGCACTTAACCACTGAGTCACATCCYGGCCCTTTTTATTTTTTATTTTGAGACAGGGTCTTTCAAAGTTGTTTAGAGCCTTGCTAACTTGCTGAAGCTGGCTTTGAATTTGGGTTCCTTCTGCCTCAGCCTCCAGAGCTGCTGAGATTACAATTGTGTTCCACCACAAAGAGCATGGTGATTATTTTTATAAATAATTTACTTAAAATTTAAATCAGTAATAGGAGGTGGATCTCTATATAGTACTTATCATTCTTATCAGTTATTTGTAATCTACATCTCCTGGAAGACTTCTTTCTGTCTTTAATGTCAATCTTAATGTTTATTTCATTATTTATAAGAATTCTAGAATTCAACTTTTAATGTGATGCCTCTCACAGTCTGAGTTTTCTGTACAGTTTAACATGTAAGATCAGAGAATGAGTATTGAATTTCTAGTTCTTAAACTCAAATAGAGTGGGAGATGAGAAAAGAGTTATGGGTATGAAAAATGGAAACAAAATATTTTGTTCTGGATATTGATCAAAATGAAAGAAAATTAAGATGAAGCTATGAGTGTGTACAATAAGCATCTTTACAAACTAATTAATATTTTAATCATTATTTTTCAAATTCTTTTTCAAACTGTAGTTCATAATACATCCCCTCTCTCTCTCTCTCTCTCTCTCTCTCTCTCACACACACACACACACACACACACACACACACACACCCTGTACACTCTAGGTAACCAAACTGGCTTACTGTAGGCACCGATCACTAGTCCTGGGTCTTACACAACTATGTTCTCAACAAAATGCTGGATTCATGTTATATCTTTTTCTTTTTTGGTACTAGAGATTGAACATAGAGATACTTTACCACTGATTTACATTCCAACACTTTATTTCATTTTGAAACAGGGTCTCATTATGTTGCTGAGGATGGCTTCAAATTTGTGATCCTCCTGCCTCAGCCTCCTGAGTTTCTGGAATTACAGGCATGTACCACTGTGCCAAGCATTTTATATTTTATTAAGACGAAACTATTCACAAATGTGATTAAGTCAGACAGTTAACTATATATTTCCTGGTGTAGGTGAAATGTTTCCCTATTATTAGACCCTTTCTTGAGACAATCTCTTGATGATTTTTTTAAGTGCTTTTTTTCTTGAGGCATTGGGTTGAAAATAACTGGCTTCTACTACTTTAAGTCAATTCAGTGATTTTTTTAAAACCCAGTTTCCTAGGACCGAGACACTGGTTCAGTAGGTCCAGCCTGTGGCTAAAGAGTCTGCTTTTGTAAGTCCCACTCCAGGGAATCCTGATGAAGCTGGTCTTTGAACTCATTGGAGAATCCTGTGAGATACTTCAGCTTTTTTGCACATCTGATACCATTTTGAAAAATGACTGAATTGGCCCATAATGAAATGCAAATTCTTACTTTTTAGCTGGATCCTTAGTTAAAATTGATGGAAGAAAACTGAATAGCAAACACCTGGGGTGGAATGTACATATCATCCGACAGTGCTGAATATCTGGGCTGTACAAGGAAGTGACATCCCCACCTCTGAAGAAAGTATTTTGATATACTTGAATCAGGCAGCCTGTGATATAATCATTAAAAGTTAATGTGGAATCAATGCAAATAATAATTATAACAGAAACATATTGCCTTCTTTTTTTTTTTTTTTTTTTTGCGGGGAGGGGGCTGTGTACCAGGGATTGAACTCAGGGGTACTCAACTACTGAGCCACATCCTCAGCTCTATTTTGTATTTTATTTAGAGACAGGGTCTCACTGAGTTGCTTAGCACCTTGCATTTGCTGAAGCCTGCTTTGAACTCTCCATCCCCCTGCCTCAGCCTCCTGAGCCTCTAGGATTATAGGCTTGTGCCACCACACCTGGCTGTATGTTGCATCCCTAACCTTCTTTCTTCTTCTAGTGACTGCACAAAGATCTTTATAGCATGACTTTGATTATAGAAGCAGAATGAAACATATTAAGGCAATTATTTGAACAACATACAATATTATTTAATGTCATTTTAGAAAAATACTTCTGCATAAAAAATTAGATAATTGTTAAATCATATAATAATTTGCAGATCAATGATCAATTATCCCCAATAAAATATACTAACTTGATTTCTCCCTGTTGCCCAACATGCTATGAAAATAAGCCCTAAACATAATGATATTTGATCTATTTTTCAAAACTTTCAAAACAAACATCTCCCTAGATAATCAATAACTCTGTAAGGAAAGCTTGAGGCAGGCTTTATTTTCTGCATCTGACATGTATTTTTTTTTTTAAAGAAAGAAGTTAAATAACTAGGTCTCAGAGTGTACAGATTTGCCCAAGATCTATATAGTTAATTAATGTCCTGGGACACAAACTGAGCCTTTCTAATTTCAAATCTTGTTTCCCTTTTCTAGTGTGCAATGTTAAATGTTGTTCTTCAACTCAGTTTAATTCAAGCAAGTTATTTTTTTGTTAAGATAATTTCTAGATAGTTTAAGCAAATGCATGCACACACTAAATCAAAAATAAAATTTCCACCACTTGCTGTTTGGAATTAATCACAGTTCTTAATTACTTTGCACCCCACATATTATTAGAGAATTGTCTTTACTGGCGTTCCCATCTGAATTTGGATTTACCTTGAAAGGTAATTTTATTAATCAAATTCTGATTAATAAACTTTCCAGTTCAGATAGTACATCCATCTTAGTCAATCAACTGTTAGTTAACCAGGCAATATTCCAATGGCAACTGTCTATACCCTAGTGCGGTAGTCACTCTTCAATTTAAATAGTGTGTATTTTTGAGTTGCCTTTCAGAGAATGGGCAACTCAGACAAAATGTATTTCCTTAGGTTTTAACATTTTATCTACCCCATTCTAGCTGTCTGGGAACTCTGGCCCTGAGACCCATTTGATAACCAGACCAGCAAGATTGCTTCTCTTCTTCTTGGCATTGTGGCTAACAAGCTAACCACTTGGGTAAGGTCTATATTTGGCAGGAGCATAAATCTCTTYGGGTTAAAGCTTCTGGGGATACAAGTTCCCAAGGGTGTATGCCTAGATTTTGTACATGCACAAAACACGGAGTAGTTGGCCCAGGGGCAATGCTAACCATAAAAAAAGCCTTGTTGTTTAGACAGTTGGTGTTTTGGCTTATTCATAATTATCAAGCAGCCACATGGTCCTGATTGTAAGGCACTTCAAGGGTGTAAACTAGGACCAATGCTGGCCTGGGTGTTCCCATTCTGCAGTTGAGTCTTTGTGAACTGCCATGTCAGTCAGGGCACCTAGAAATGTATCAACTTTGGAGCTGAATGGAAAGAAAGTTCTAGTGCATTCCTGTCTATCCTCTAATCATCATAGCTTTCACAGTTTTTACATGTCCCTGAACATTGAGCAGATTGTTTGGTCTTGTTGAAAAAATTTACATGATCAATGAGGAGAAGCAAAGCATTCTAATTTTTTCAAAAAATTAAGCAACATCTGGGCAGGGTGGCACACACCTGTAATCCTAGCAGCTTGGGAAGCTGAGGCAGGAGGATTGTGAGTTCAAAGCCAGCCTCAGCAAAAAGTGACACTAAGCAATTCAGTGAGACCCTGTCTCTAAATAAAATACAAAATAGAGCTGGGGATGTGGCTCGGTGGTCAAGTGCCCCTGAGTTCAGTCCCCAGTACTAAAAAAAAAATAAAAAAAAAAAAGAAAAAAAAAAGAAAGAAAGAAAAAGAAAAAAAGTTAGGTGACAAATATAAAAAGATAATCTACTAAAGAAATGAAAGTGATTAGTAAGTATGTGAAAAATGGTAAGAATCACAAATCCATATAAGATAAAACAAAAAAATGTCAATTTACCCATAAGGTTAGCAAAAAGTCAAAATTAAAGAACCAGTGTTTTCATATTGGTTTTGATTCCAAGTAATAGAAAAACTAGTTCAAAGTAGCTTGGGTACAAATAAAATKTATTGGTCCAGAAGCCAAAAAGCCCATGGTAAATCTGGTTTTAGGAGTAATTGCATAATATATTCAATGTATAACATCAGTACACAATTTGTCTACATCAATTTGTTCTGTAGTGGTACCATTGATCTCATTAGGAGCCTTATTTCTAGGTCTAAGCCAAAGCGTTATTACAATACTTTGGCTCTATTGGGTCACTGCAGTCAGCAGGATGTGTGTACTTCCTGATTCAAGTCTGGCTGGGACATAAGCTCTGGCTCTGGTGTCAATAGCAGAAACCACATGGACCAAAACTGAGAGGCAGCAGATCTCCAGAAATAAATTTGGATACTGTTGCCCAAAAGGTGACAATATGCCTGGTCACAAGGCTACAGATGCCTATTAGAGTTGACCTAAGCAGATAATCGAGCATTCTCACATGCCAGTGGGAAGACTTATACTTCTTTACAGCATTAATGTGGTTTTTACATGGCAATGATTATGGTACAGAAATGCAATTAGGGATTGAGGGACAGATGGAGGAGAGGTATGAGTCAGAGTTAAAAAAAAAAAGCTTTCCTAAAAAAATTGTTTCTTATTACAAATATAAATCTCATCCAGTGGTATTTATCTTAGTCACACATCTAAGAGATCAATAAACAATCTTGGAGTAGTCATCTGAAGTTGTTATAGACTCAGAACCTACTCCTAGTGGTAACCCAGAGAATATTTCACCCAGCAATGACTAATGAAAAACAATGTGCAAAGTCATTCTGCAAATTAATGACATAAGTAAATCAACAATACCAAAACGTGGTGTTGAAAACTATTCATCGAGAATATCAAAGGTATGTTTTAGTAAGTTAAATTTAARCCATTTCAGAAATTGTTCCTTAGTGGCCTAGAGTAAAATTACCACGTACCTGTCAGACACTTGATGGGACCCTGATGCTATGGTACTCCTTTTAATTTTTAGTGGTAAAAATAAAAATAGAAGTCGAATTATTCATTTTGAGATCTGCTTTGTAAAGAGTCATCTCCAAAAAGAAGCTTTTCTAGTACCTGCTCCAAGACGTCTCATTGCTAGGCTCCTCCCCCTGATAAATCATGTATGTTTAGGACAACATATCTGGGAAGAAGTGTCTTGCCTTCAAACATTGAAAGGATAATTCTCCTGAATTACCAGGGGCTGCCTCCTTCCTCAAAGCTGTATATTCTTGACCTTTCTCCAGGATGGTACAATTTGCCAGACTACTCATCTCTCAAACACCCTAATTTCATCTCTTGTAGATAAAATACTTACCACAGGAAACTGTAGCAAACAAACAAATGAAGTAAGCTGCGTGCTTGAATGAAAACATCCTAAAAAAAAAATAACACATACATAAGTCTGTTAGTTGGGAATCATATTTAACAGACATTTAACACAAACCTTAATCTTAGATGATACAGATTTTCTTGTAACTGTCTGAGTTACAAATCAAAGCATAAGATTACCAATATAGAGAGACAGGACTTTTTAAAATTTCTTGTGGATTTTTTTTGTTTGTTGGTTTGGTTTTACTTTTTGTCTCTAGGAACTTGGAAAATTTAGAATGCTTCCCAAGATAGAGAATTGAAAGTTTTACACTATTATTGTTACCTTTTTCAGCTCTGTTGCTAATAATTTTGAAAAGAGAATTGATAGGGAAGAATTAAACAGTTGCTAAACCTCTTGACATAAATAAAAATACATTTATTATAATAGCAATAACACCAGTCCAGAATCTCTATGTATGAAATAGTAAAGCCCCTCTAAAAATGTTAAACCAATCAAATATTGTCTTTGATTTTAAAATGGCATKCAAATTTAAATATTTCCACATACAAGAGCATCAGTTTTTTCTAGACACTCAGAAAATTAGAACACAAACTAATAGATTCTTCACAAAGTAAAAATTATACTTTAGAAACAAAACACTCTTTGGAAGCAACCAGAATAATAGAAATTTGCTACCTGAAAACACAATTGCTTCTGTGGTTCTGAAGACGAGGGAGTCTCTCGCCACTTAAAATTGAACACTCCTCTAGCGGTTCTTAATGTGGTACGGCAGGCAATATTTGCTTGGCTTCAATATTGACTTTGGGTCGCTGCTAAYACTTTCAACTTTTTGTCCTGTCGAAATATTCCCTGAACACCCTCTTCCTGTATTCAGCTACCTAATATATTAACTATTTCATAGAGTAATATCAACAAGATGGCAGACTAGGATTTCTGGCACTCATTCCCTTGTGGAAACATTAGTTTGAACAACAACCCAAGCACAAAATACCTTCCCAAGAACTAAGGAATCTAGATGAGAGGTTAAAGTACCCAGTTGGACTACAGAAATAACAAAAAGGCATGTTGAAAACGTGTGGAAAAGACATTCCTCTCAATGAAGGAAAGAGAATAAGGCATATGCCCAATTTTGCTACAGATTTCAGCCCTAAGCCTGCCCTCGTGAATCTCAGGACCAGGGCAGCCACTGCAGAACCAGGCTTCAGGCAGGTTAGGTACCTTCAAACCCAACCTCCAGGCCCACCACATGGGCCCAGCAGCCTCTGGCTTATTTCAGACCAGGAAGACCCTGGAGCTCCAGATACTCCCCACAAAGCTAAGCTTGAAGCCTACCCCAGCTCCAAGCTTGTCCCTATGACTCCAGAGTCGAGGCTAACACCTGAAGACCCAGGATTCAGACCCGTYCCATCACCAGACCTTCCCCAATGAACTCAGGTCCCAGACCAGGCTCAGTGAACCCAGCTGCCAAGCCCACTCCAGTGGGCCTAGTGGCCGTCTGTGGACTCAGAACAGATCCAACTCCATAGACGGAGGGATCAGGTGAGCTCAAAGTCAGGTTGGCTTCTGAAGTTTCCAGCTCAAGACCTCCCCCCGCCCAGTGTCAGGTCAGCCCTCAAGACTTTAAGCCAGTTCTTCTGCACAGGATCCTTGCAGCCYCACTCAACCTGTTCCCCAGTCATGCTTTTATGGACACAGTGACCAGGCCCACCCCAGTAGGTCCTGGTGCCAGGCTAGCTTCTCTGGACCTAAGATCTAGACCCACCCCTGCAGACCCATGTAGCACGCTATCCTTCTTGACCTCAGTAGCAAGCCTGCCCAAGGACCCCATCAGATAGCCCACCAAGAATTTCTGAATGAATTAATAATTAATGGCTTTCTTTGATAAAGTCAATTTTTATAGTCTAAAATAGGTGCTTACTTCTTCAAATGTGCAGACACCCAATATAAGGCTGCAAGGATCACAAATAATCAGGGGAAAATAWCACAGCAAAGGAACAAAATGAAGCATCAGAGACTGGCTAAAAAAATAATGTCAGTTTACAAATTGCCTGACTGAGAATTCAAAATAATTATCTTAAATAAGTTCAATGACCTGCAAGTGAATACAGCTAGGTGACTAAACAAAATCAGGAAAACAATGCAGAAGTAAAATAGGTGATTCAACAAAGAAAGAATCAGCAAGCTCTGTGACAGTTCCTTTGAAATTAACCAGAGTAACAAAAAGAAAAAAAAGACTAGTAAAGAATGAAGAAAGCCTAAAGGACTTGTAAGACACAATTAAGAAAATGTATATGCATTCTAAGAATCCCAGAAGGAGCAGAGAAAGAAAAAAAAACCTTTAAATGCTTATTTAAAGAAATAATGAAAATAAAATCTCAAATGTGAAGAAGGATATGAACATCCAGATCCATGAATCCCAAAGAAACCCAAATAGATTAAATATAAAGACATCTTCCCCCAAYACACATTTTAATCAAATCATTAAAAGTCAAGGACAAAGAGAATGTTTAAAGCAACTATATACACAACTTGACACATACAAAGAAATCTGTATTCCCATCAGGGGAATTCTTAGAAATTTTGTAAGTCAGAAGAGAGTGATATGACATACTCAAAGTACAGTTACCAACTTATGATAGTTCAACTCTTTTTCCCTTTACAATAGTGCAAAATTGATACACATTAAGTAGAAATCTTGCTTCCAATATTGAATCTTGACCTTTTCCCAAGCTAGAAATATAAAGTATAATAATCCCTTATGATGCTGAGGAACAGCCATGAGATCACCAAGGTAAACAACCAACAATGTACAATCTATCATGTAGTTAAGCAGTGGTGTTTGGTAGGTTAGGTGTATCAGATACAATTTTGATTTGTGATTTTTACAACTTATTGATGAGTTTATTGTGACTTATCCCATTTTATGTCAGGAGCATCTGTACTGAAAGGGGGAAAAAAAAMCCCTGTCAAACAAGAATATTATACCCAGCAAAGCTGTCTTTCAAAAGTGAGATGGAGTTTTCCCAAYAAATAAAAGCTATGGAAGTCATTATTACTAAACTTGCCTTGCAAAATACGCTAAAGGGAGTTCAATCATTGAAAAAAAAAAAAAGGACACTAAGAAAATAAAAACATATGAATGAATAAAACTCAGTATAAAGGTAAGAATTGATCAAATTCAGAATGCTGTATTACTGTAGTGGTTGTGCAAAAATCTCTTTTAACTCTAGTAAAAGCTAAAAAAACAAACACTAGAAATAACTATAGTTATAATAATTTGTCAGTGGTTACATAATTTATATAAGGTATAATTTTTGATATGAATAACATAAAATGTAGGGGAAGAAGAACTTAAAATGTAGAGTATATCTATAAAACAGAAGTTAAGCTGTTCTCAGCCTAAAATAGAAGGTTATACCAATAATATAAACATGAAAAAAATTACTTTTAATAGATCCATAAAAGATAAAGAATCAAAGAATAGCAGTATAAAAAATAATCAAATCACAAGGAAGGATATACAAAACAGAAAACAAATAACAAGWTGGGCAGCACTAAGTTTTTACCTATCAATAATTACRTTAAATATATTTATGAATTAAATTCTATAATCAAAAGACAGATAGTAGCTGAATAGATTTTTTTTWAAATTATGTAATTTGGAGACCCAAAAAGGAAGCCCGGTGCCAAGCCAGCCAGACTGGAGGAGGAAGCCCGGCCCCGCCCCTTGTGCTAGTCCAGAGGAAACCCATCAACCCTTAAAACCCATCAAAGGGGGCGTGGCTGGTGCACGGTTCTGCGGCTGATCCAGGTACACCGTTTCCAACTCCCCCACCCTTAGCTGCAATAACTCAAAATATTTCCCACAAGCTTTTGGGGGATGTAGCTATCAATGCAAAACAACAACTGTACAGGCACCTGGTTTCCACCTCAGAGACTAGAGTAGGGAGGATACAGGTGGAAGCTCATATCCTTTCACATTGGCTATATCCACCACCCTGAACACACAGAGGCTCAAGCTAGGAATAGACTACGCCATCTACTGGAAGAAAGGAAAACAGAGTTCTGAGAGACTTTTCTTTTCTTCTCTTTCTCTTTTCTTCTCTCTCTTACACAACCTCAACATATGTGAAACCATGATCTGTGCATGAACGACTGAATCACCAAAATAATATAATATAGAGGAATTGCATATGCCCCACCTTCCCCCATTTTTTTTCCTTATTTCTTTCTTACTTTCTTTTTCCTTCTCTCTTTTTTCTCTTTTCTTCCTTGTTATTTTTTTTTCTTTTCTTTATTCTTATTCCCTCAATCCCACTTTCAACCCCCTAACTTTTACTATCTATACGTAGGGTAACTATCTAAATACAGATAGGAGGTTGAATCTATACATTCTTCAATAAATTACCAGTCTATTGGTTAGAGTTCTCCAAAGTTGTTAAGTTAGTTTAACCTCATACCCTCACTCCTTTCCCTCCAAGTATAACATCCTTCGTCTGAAATTCAGTTTTCTATATGCCACCAGATATRGTATGCCTTTTATGAAACTAATGACTATATTTTAAAATAACAATTGAAACCAATATCTATAGACTTAGATTCTAACTATAAATGTATTAATAATGAAAACTTGTGCTTAGATGATGTACTGTTGATATTGGGAACTGTTAACATTGTCTTTCTCCACAAAAGAGGGATTTTGGAGCTATATAAGAACAATGTAAATATATAAGGGGAAAACCATTAACACAA